AGCTCGGCTCTTTCCACCGAAGCTAGGACGAAGCCACTAGCGGAATAGGGAAGAAGCCCATTCAGCTTGATCGGGACTGACCCCTCCTTCAGAAAGAGTTGGCGCCCCCGATTCAGGTGGTGGCGGAGGGTGGGTGCATGCTAGTCGATGGCGCTTCTATTGGGAGCTTGAGCTGCCTAGGGGCCAAAACGGTAAGGATGAACTAAAAAGCATAGAGGTGAACTAAAAAGCTATCTGCCTCTGTGAAGTTCATATCAACTGAAGCCGTACTTAGCAATAATATCAAACTACTCTGAAATTTCGATTGAATTTTTTTTCAGTTGGCCCTCAGCTTCAGTTAGCCGTATTCAGGTGCTATATCATAACGAAAGGCCTGAAATTCCTCGAAACGGTCCTGATTCCCTGATATTGGGACAAAACAAATGGAGTCGCCACTAAACACGCGAGAGTCGTTACTCGGGTGTGACTGGGGGATCAGCCGGCACTGACGAGGTACGCATCGACGACCACCAGATCAAGTTGTCTTCACGATAAGGCTTCTTATCTCGACATCTGCGACAACGTTACCTTTTCAATTAACCTTTACTGTTAGCTCCTCAAACCCTTTACTAGCAAAGCTTAGCAGAGAAACCTGGTAAACGCCTTTTTTTGTCGGTCCCCAGTAGGCCTTTGTGACGTCTGTTGTTGCCCTACTACGACCTCAAAAAGTCCCCAATTCGGGAGGAACTGATCGGAAGTATTCACTATACTGTTTAGTTATCACGCTAAACCGGCAGTTTGCAGGGGCGGTGATTGGAAATTGAACAAATGCGCCGATTATCGATTAACTCCCGTCTACGTGACGTGATCGCGCTCTCAGCGTGCTGGGTGGTCCAATACACCACTTGATCTTTGTTCGGCATTGTGAACAACAACTGTTAAGCTTTCCTGTATTGTTAAAAGTGAACACATGGCATATTGCAAAGTCAATTTTCCGAATAGCGAATCCCTGGCAGAAATCCAAAACTGCCACTCGAACAAATAACATCACTTTTTGGTACGTACGAGGCGGAATCAAGAAGGCTCCCTGGGTGGTCTCCTTTAAAATAATTGGTCGGGTCCCCTTCCATCTTTACAAATCACCCTTCCTGAGGATCAACGTTCACTTGTTTCCAGGAAATTAATCATAAGTCACCTCCACTTGCTGGATTTGGCTCCGAATAAAAAAGTTTTTCAACAAATCCGTCCTTGTAAGGATCACTGATCCCTCAGGAGCTCGTATGGCCATGTCAGCTGTGTTGTGGCTAAACAGCTGATATTTTGGTGACGTCATCCAGCAAAACAATGCTGTATGAGGGAGGAATCGACATCGTTATAGCCTCCTATTTTGCAGTGAACATGATGTTTTCATGAGCGCTGAGCAAGACTGTCGCATGCCGAAACGACGAGGCGAACGAAGTTGGTTGCTGTGTGGATGAGACAGACGCACACACACACACGCTGACGACTCCATCGCCGACGGCCGGCTGGCCGGCATCAGCCTGGCTGTCGCACTTCCGCCAGTCGACCGCCGGCGTCGCGGCTAAGCCGCAGCAGCAGCAGCAGCAGCCGCAGTCGCCGCCATCGCCACTGCCGCCACAGCCGCCGCCGCCGCCACTGCCGCGTCGTTCGCGATACCCTCTGCGTCGCGGTCGCGTCACGGTCCCCTGGTCCAGGTCATCATCGCAGTGACGCAACGGCATGCACGATTTCCCTCATTCAGCTGGAGGAAACGCTATTCATGTTTCATTATGTTGCTCTTCATGTTTGACATTTTGACAAGTTCTGTCATATGTACTCTGTTTTTTCGTATTCTCATTGCACCACCCCATTCAAGCACACCAAATGATTTCGTGTGAATTTCGAAATGTTCATATCAAATGGTAGCAAAGATTTGTAAAGTGTTAAGATTTTTTTCGGGTTTTATTTCAGACGCGGATTACCGCTCCGTTTACTTCGAACAGGGTCAGACTCGGACTTCCGTAAGTTGTCGTTTTTTTTCTGTTTCGTTTATTCGTTTTTTTTTCGCCATTACCATATCTGCATGGTATTCCATGACAGTAGCCCTCTAACTGGTTACTATTAATGGGGGTGTGTTTAAAAGGTGCTTAAAGTACAAAAGGAGCATTTATTGTAAATAAAATGAGCTCAATCTGTCATTCATTCCTGCATTTAATTACCAACCAATGATTACAAAAAAAGAAAATTAATTGTGATAATTGTGTCTGTGATTGATAATTTGAGAATCGTACATTTTATGTAGTTATTATTATCTTTTAAATGGTTGTAATTTAGAGCAAACAATGTCCACCTTGACTGATTTCGACACCATCACAAACCAGAACGTCATTGCTGGGTATGTGTTTTTCTTTTTCTTTTAGTCAGTGTAGCTTCCGCTATGACACATTGCTGGAAACGCTTTTGACAAGGAAATTGATGTTTTTTCTTTGAAATGCTCTATTCCTTCAGTATGATCTTATAATAAATCCCCCATCTTTCAATCGCCAGTAATTTCACGTCCCTCTCTTCACTCATGCCCATATTTTAGCGTTCATGAAAAAGGATAGATGGTTACATTTGTATATAAAAATAAAAATCGAGTGAGCTGTGTACATTTTCCGGGACCAGTTCTTTGCCAAATGATTTTTAGCGTGAGAAGCAACAGTCACTTTTCTCGATGCTCTTACACCCTGTAAAGATAATAATGTGTAAGCCACACGAGCGGTTGATTTAAGAGCGATCAAGTAATCACTAAGTTAATTATTATTGGAAAAAAAGTTGTAAGCAGTAGCCAGCTTTATTCATTCTTTTATTGGGTTGGTTGTAAAATTAGGGTGGGCCAGGTGAGGTTAATTAGGGTGTTCGTTCATAGGGTGGAGATGAATTTCATGGAAAAGTGATGCATGGTGTATGATATATTGGAGGAACTTCGTCCAACCGTAAGTGGCAAGCTCACAACTAAGTCTACTAGTTTACAAAGTATGAGTTTAAAGGCGGGTAGATAGGGAATTTTTCCTGTGATTTTGTTGGTTCGCAGAATTCACCCGTTGGCTTCATCTTTATATAATAGAAGTGTGGGAAGGGGACCAGTTGACCCAAGTCATTAGAAGTTTCTTCTACCAATTTGAAGTGCATAAAAATTTCCTATAGATAGATAGGCAGATATCGTAGATCATGTATATTGCCTGAATTTTATGTATAACGGCTTTACACATCAAGGGTATTTTTTGATCATTTTTAATAGCCTCTTCCTATTTAAATGATGTAAAGTGACGTATGGGAACTCTTTAAAAATATTTAGTATGTTCAGATCCTGGATGGTTGCCATAATCATAAATGGATATAGTTTGAAGGAGAGGGGTACATAGAAAATTTTGGGAACTTATAATGCGAAGTAGGAGGATTAACTTTTTGAAAACAATTTTACAAATTCAGTGCGCAGAGTTCGCTTCAGATACGAATTGCAATCTAAATACTGCTGATTTGAGGGGTAAATTATGGCGAATGTAGGGGCACAAGTTGTTGTTTATAGTTTCCTTTCCAGGTTGACAAGCGTTCCCAAGCAGTGTATGGTCATGGATGGATCGAGATTGTTTGCGGGAAATCCGAGTCTACCCTGTGCACCACCAGCGTACGGGTCGGGCCAGTTTGAAGCTGCTGCTCTTTTTGAGCAGGCCGTACAATATGCTGCCGCAACAACAGCTGCTGCAGCTTCACAAGCGCCGTTTCACTCGACTGTGCCCCCAATATATAGTCCTTCACCGAGTGGCAACAACAATATGATGACAACAAATGGTATACTACTTTTTTGATCATTTAGTTATTCATTAAATACGAAAAGAAGCTAATAGATGAAGACATTGGAGACATATTTAAATCAGGGAGTGAGGGGGGAGGGGGTTCACACTGCGAGCTATAGAAGCGTGTGTAAGCTTTTTATGATTGGTGATTGTCGACAATTAACCAATCAGCGATGAATTTTTCGTGCACATGAGCCTGATGCCCTTGACGATAGCTCAAAGACCAAGTTCAGGGATTGGGCAAAACACAATGACGACACATGTGCTTGTGCGCAAGCACTTTCTCAAAAGTTTCTGACAAGAAAACAGTTTTTCTATCTTTTCGTATTCCGTAAGTCCTCGGACCGAACATTAGTAAGATTTATCCGGGAATACTGAACTGATGAGAAGATTGAAGAGCTGTACAGCATCCGAGCCAAAACCAAGCCACATCTTGTGGGAACACAATAGTAGCATGTTGATCTGGTTGAAAGGTCGCTTGACTAAGCAAGGCAAGTATCAGTCACTCATGGTGGAAGATGAGGGTGTGTCAGGCAGAATACTTCGTTAACGATAACCTAAGGAATTCTCGTGGCAAAAAGGAGCACTGCGATCGAAACTAAAGAAGAAGAGCTGAAATGATTTGTAGTTGCTGAATAGAAGCCGATTGAGCGNTTTGTAAGCCCTGTTGACTGTGTTTACTCAGCCCAGATTGCAGAAAATTTGCTGAATTTGGATTTCGTTAAAATGTGGTCACAGCATTCGTTGAATTTCCGAAGTAGAAATTACAGGATAAACCAGATTTTTATTAAGTGAGTGGCAAAATCGGATAGGTAACGTGGAAAGTCGACAAAGTTGGATGGAAAACTGAATAAACGGAATTTTTTCTCAGGTCGTAGTTCCTTGTTGCTTGGCTTACTTCTTAATCTTTCAAAATGGTAAATTTTGATTTCAAGCGGTGCAGAGTTCCATTTCGTTACCAATTTCACAGTCCTCCGATATATCAGAAACAATAGAAACACATTTTTCCACCTACACCACTACTTCACTACTATTCCAAATAGGAATAATATAAAAGGTGTCTTAGAAATGGTATTGCGAAAAAATGAGTCACCATTTCAGTCCAATTTCAGACACAACCATTTCTTCTCAAATTGATGAAGGTTGTTCATTGGATGACGACGAAGACAGCAGCATTCTCAGCAACTTACCGAACTCGTGTCATGACTTCGAACTCAAGGTCTGATTGATAATTGCATTCCCCGATTGGGTGTTACTGTTGTAATTGAGTTGTTGAAAAAACAACACAAAAATTAGTTCGCCTATGTTCGCACATGTAGAAGGGGAAGGATACAGCTTTGTTGGTTAGTTGATTATAAATGATGTGTGTTAGTGTATAGGTATGTCGAAAACTATTTCTTGGCCTTAAAACTTACTTATAGAAGGGGTAGAATGTTAGAAAGAAGGAATTCGGAATTATGGATAAAATATCTATTTCTGCTAGGCTATAGCCGTGATTAGGCCAATTTATTCCTTGCAAGCTACTCGTTCTAGGCGCCTGCAGCCTTCCTATTTTAGCTGCTGTTATACATATTTAACAACCCTTACCCTTGAATCTTAGCCAATATGGATCCCATCAGAGGCTACTCTATCCCATTTATATTACGGTGGTTGATTTCTCGTGCAAAAGGATGTGGGCCAGAGGTTTTGTCCATATCGACGATATACTGCAAAGATGCACCAAAATAGTCCGAAGCGCTTGAACGCTGATTTTCTTTTTTTTTAATGTCACGTTTTTCTTCAAAATTTAGTTTAGCTAATTCCCCAAAATAAGTTCCCCTTAGAAGTTTGCGTTTTCAGGAGTTGCATATCCGTCTGGAGCGAAATCACTCGAGTCCGTTGATTGGAGGACACAGTTCGCCAGCGCTGTCAAGTCGTCTTTCAAGCAATTGCCCTTCGGCTGAACCACCAACTGATCCTGCTGAGCCGGAAGATTTGGAGGTATTTGCTAAATTTCCTTTTCTAAACTCCCAACTTTTATTGACTTTTGGCCTGGTCGAAATAGTTGCAAAGGTAATTGGAAGCGTAAGTGACAAGTTCATATTACTATTCCGAAATGTGGCGCTTGGTATTTCACGTTTTGGTCTTAGGAACCAGAAAGTTAGGTGCTGTTTTTAGGTTCAGTTCATCAACGAGTGCTTTGAGGAACAACAGCGACAGTCACAGATGTACCAAAGCGGCGACTTGAAAACCCTTTTCTATCATGGAAGCTCTGAGCTCGATTCATCCAAGGTCAAAACTAGCATAAACTTATTAAGAGTCTGCGTCTACTATATTCAGTGCATATCGTTGTCGAGTTTCGATCAGCTATTTCACTGATTCATCTAAATGTGGTTAGAATCGGGTTTGGGAGGAAGTACATGTATACCAGTCATCCTCGGTCTTGTGGCGCATCTTTCTTTCATGATTTCACGCGTTTAGGGTTTTATGGTATTTTTTAAATGAAAGCACATGAGGGCAAAGTTCAGTAATCTACTAGTCGTATATGGGAGAATTCTGTTTTCCTTTGACTTCTTCCTCGTGTTTTTTTATTTAGTCCAATCTCCTGTCGAAGAGGAATTATAATCCAATAGTGTTCAGTAGTAGGATAGGATATATAGAAGTCATTTTTCGGGCTTTTCTTCATAGATATAATAGCGCTAAGGAAAATTCCTGTAAATGTTAATTTTGTTGTACCTTTTATAGGTTACAAATCGATCAGGTACTGATAAAAGCGGCCAATCGTCACTGGAACGTCCTGAACGTTTACCGTACGCGAAAAAGCTCAGCGCTCACGACCCATTGAACAGTATCGCACAGTACGACAGTCATCCAATCACATCACCAACGTTTTTGAATCTTAGTGAGAACTTCGAACCATGTGAGTGAATACTAAGTAGTACATATTGTACACGACAATTACTACGTTGAGTAACGGTTTCATTGCAGTATTGACTCCCAAATCGGAGGCCTTAATCCAGAAGCGTGTTCGGAGGGACCAAAAGGCTTCCCCGAGTCGCCGAAGAGTGTCTGAGCCGTTAGCGCAGAAACCCCCACTTTTTTGGGGTTCAGGTAATCAAAATTCTTTGTACTGCATGTGTTCAATATGTGTTTCTGTCAAACTAGATTATGACTCATTTCGTCGAAGATGTCAAGGAGCCACTGATGTGGTCACTGTTCATGAGATACTCTGGTTCGTGATCTGTTAGAGATGTAGTAACAAATGATTATCAATATATCATTTTGTTTTTGGTACAAACAATCCTTATCGTAATGACGGGTAACTTTTTCATACGAATTGTTACTTTCTAACCCGTCTGTGACTACTTGGTTTTGGAGGTTAAATCTTTCTACTTTAACATATGCACACATTACTTCTTTGGCTAGCGTGATGGTAACATGAAGTGAAATCTCACGTCTGCATGGTAATAATAGAAGTTTTCACTGGATCAAAGCGGCTCACCACGTTTTTTTTTCGTTCATGACCATCTTTAAATACTTGTGGGAGTTGTCGGCCATGGTTTGGGCTTTCGATGGCCGTTATTTGATTTCTTTCTAATAGCCATGAGCGGTTCTAAACATATGGTCGTGGTCTAATCGTTTTTCTGGCAATTAGTAGCCTCATGCAGCGTGATGCGGGTAACCCGTATGTTCCCAGCGTCAGACTGAAGGCGGAGGTGTGACTCGTATTTGTCAACTGGCAGGGAAGAGTTGGTTTAACCTTAATTACACTAACCTAAAAAGCTTTTTGTGCACTAGTCGTCATGTATTTCTCTTGTCACCGCTTGGTCGTCCTTTTTTTTGGGAGATGGATAGGTACGGAGGTGTTATTGGCAAGGATATTCCAATAAGACCTGGACGAGCTTTTTTCATGACATTTTTCGGATCTGTTCGTCCTTTTTCCCGAGTCCATCTGTTCAACGTCAGAAGGGTAGAACCCAGAGAATATAGCTTTCTGTAAGATCTAGGTCTATGCTGACAGTTGAAGTACCTTTTCTTTGGCTAAAATACCGTTGTTATTTCCTGTCCAATGTAAAACGATTTCTGAAGTGATTTTCTGTTCCAAATCTCCTTCTAGCTATTTGCTACTTGTGCTTTGTCATCGTAAAATTTTTTTATTTGTTACAGGACTGAGGATTGAAGGTGCTGGTTTTGGAAGTGGAGAATTGTTCGAGTCAATCGACTCTACCAGAAGTTTCATCGAAGATAAAAAACGACACATCAGCTTCGATAATTATTTCCGTGGTAAACTTGTGTTTCCTAATAAATTGTTAAATGTTTACCTTAGTTCACCTTTTACTATTTCATTGTTTAGGGTCGACACCTATAAGTGACTGTGCTACACCAGATTCAATTCGCTGTGAAGACGAAACGGAAGCTCTAGCAAAAGGTGTTATCGAGAGTTTGTTCTCTGGTGTTGCACTCACACCTCTCACTCCGGCACAGGACTTCAAGGCAAATTTAATTTGATTACTTTGTTATTTTTCGAATTCAGGTTGGAGAGGCTATGAGGTTCTGTTTCTGCATTCATATTATTGTAGTAGAATGTAGTAATCTAATATTAGCGGACCACAAAAATTTGCTTTCTGCTGCTCTTTATCACGCCATGATAGGTACTACTTGGAGGATGTGAATATCCCAAGGCCACACCACTACTCACGGGTTGATGTTACAGCGACTACTGCGACTACTGGGGGGGGGGGGGGGNTCTCCCTGGACATTGACAAGATGAAGTAGACATGGCGGGGTTGATTACTTTTCGCAGCTGGTTGTACAATACTGCTAACTAAGTAACGAATAAGTTTGGCAAAGCGCCAGGGTGTTCTAATCATTAGAGTGTAGTGGCTGCGATGATGGCCGCTGCCCGTATCACAGCCTGACGGCATTGCTATGATGGCATCATTCAGCATGCACCGCACATGATTTCAGAGAGTTTTCTTCAGGAACCTGGCATGGTTATCGATTGGCCCCCAGCTTTCCACTTTTCTTAGATGCGCCGTTCGAAAAGATTTTCTGATTTTAGTAGAGAATAAGCCGCAGAACGGAACAGCCATCTATTCAGGCAGCTCTCTTTTGATGGATTATTTCAAATAAGGCTCTGCTGTTTTTGAGTACTACTCAGTGACAAATCGTATTTCGCTAATTTAACATTGGGATTTTGATGTTGCAAAGTGATCTCAATCATAATACTGTTCTTTTTAGGAAGAGCTACGTAAAGTGTCCGCGACTAATCAAAATAAAGCAGTACGCAAGTTATACATGGACAACTTGACAGTGTCTGGTTCTCCAGAAAAGCTGCCAAAAGACTTGCTTCCGGTCATGGACTTGAATAAGTCATCAACCGAAACTGCCGCCACCAAATTTGAGCCTATTGCTGGCTTATCAGATGCGTCTGGGCAATCCAGTTCACAAGTGAAGTCGGTGGATGTTAGTTCTTCCATCCCAGAAGAGCCTACTGTGGTGGGAGATGACGATGGTGATTCGTGGGAAAACCTTGATGACACAAAGCTTGAACAGCAGGTTGTTCTATCACTTCAATTCAATTATGATGCAATTTATCCTTTTCAAATAACCCCTGCTCATGTATTTCGTCTAGATGAATGCGTTAAAGCTTGAAGTCGCATCCAAGGCACCACGACGCCCCATCAATTACTTTGCTCCCCCGGTGGAAGTTGCAACTCCTTGGGATCCTTTCCGTAAGTTGTTTTCTTTGTCAATCTCCCATTTTTCATTTTTTTTTTTGAAAACATGGATTATGAATCGGTGAGTTTGGGCAAATTCCTGGTAAATCGCTCCAAAATTTCTCATTCCCTTTACTCTTCTTCTTTGCAGTGTTGCCTCACGTTCTTGAAGCTTACGATGTACCAGAGTACAAACTCGCTGAAGATGTGGTTAATGCTCTGGCGGCTACTGATTGGGGTAATGCCACAGTGAAGTGGTTGGAGCGCAAGATTGTCTTTGTGGTGTTCGCTAGTGAACGACAAGGTATAATTTACTATTATCCTTTTTGTACACAATCAGTAAACAACAAGTAAACAAATGTATTATGTTCAAGCACGCGATGCTTTGGTGCTGCACAAGCATCAGTGGTTGCGATTACGGCCACTTTCGAAGTCTCCGGCCCGTGTTCAGGAGAAAGCACGAGAAATTCAAGCTCAGCTGAAACCTACCAGGTACCAGCGCTCTTAGTATCGTTATTGTTTACACCATGGCTTGGTAATTGTTTATTTTGTTTTGTTGAAGGGCTCGCCCAAAAACAAATGCTGGCGTAGCTCGCAGAATGGTAGAGAGTACTCTGGGAATGCGCTCGTCAATTTCGAAAGAGCAACGCGATGCGGAAAGGAAACAGCTATCTGATGCGAAAGGTACATTATTTGTACATGTAAATGATTAGTGTGGTATAGTTGGAGATGACCCGAATGAGCTGTGGAATTACCAGTTCAAAGCTGGGGCGTACGTGGTCTGTTTATGATTGGCCTGTTAAACGTAGCCACCAATCATGAACAGCCTAGAGACGTAAAAGAACTGTCGCTGCTCTGCTAAGGTCGAGATAGCAGGTCGCGCCACGCTCGTTTATATGGCGTGACTTATTACTCGATTGTTTGTGTACAATTTCTGTTACTCCTGTTCTCAATTGGAGTAAGTTCCTTTTTCAGCTGCAAAGAAGAATTCGGTTCGATGGGACGATTAAACCCAGTCTTCGTGGATATTTCACGTCACAATTGACATTTTCTTTAAAATGTTTATGTTTACAGTGAACTTTTCTTCAATATACTCCTTCTATTCTAAAAACAACAAAAAAAAAACAATAATAAAATTATAAAGATTTAAAAAAGATGTACACGTTTTACTCACGTAGAATATGAGAACGCGTTCGTTTTTCGTAATCATTATTAGGATTTGACAATTTTTGTGACAGCATGAAAGATACAAGCAATCATGGCTGATTTACTGTTATTAGTTTTTAAAAAATTTAAAGCAGCAATCTTTAATATTGTGCTCATCGATTTTTAGCTCAAAATATTTCTTCATATACAATAGGTTTTTATTCTTATTGCAAATATTTTGGCTATTCTGCGCGTTTCTTTTGAGAAATCATCGAAGAGAATGTTAAGTGGTGAGCCGTGTTCAATCTTCTTTATATGTTTAAATTTATATGTTTTAAAAAAATTTCAGTTTTCATTTTTTTTTNNNTTTTTTTTTCTCTTCTTCATTTCCACATGCCCACATTCAATCATGAATTGTAATTCATTTGGATTTTCATTTTGGGCATCATTATTTGACTATATGTCTACGACAATGATGTTAACTTATGTTTCATGCGGCTAGCTGATGATAAGTGTTTCCCCGATTCCAGCTAGTCGCGGAAGTCTTTTCTTTTCTTCCACATTTCATGTGCTCCTCCCGTATGATGGGCGGCTATGAAATAGCGCTCCACGATGATATACATATGATATGTTGATACGATCGAATTGTTTTTCGTCGTTTCCAAGAGCCCTCATTGAGCCATTGATCGATCGATTGATTCATTGTGAATCATTCATTCATTCATTCATTGGTAAGCTCCAAGTGAATGATTTTGCCTTTGGCAATTATCCCGTATTGTTTTGCGGTCATATGGCACTCCCACAAGCTCCTATCTTCCCCACTCTCTTTATCCGTTCTAGGATACTCTACGACAAAGATCGCTAATTCAAATTGTTCACACACATAAGGAAGCGCTCGTGTGCTAGGTGTTGTTCGAAAGATTTTGTAATTGATGATTTCTTTTCGTCTTCCCTTTTTTTATATTACACTAATGTGCCCTGTGTTTCCTTCTTCGTTTTTTTTTTGGCGCTACACATGTTTTCATAGGGGCATTATAGATGCCCCCCTCCTTATACACATGAAGACCCAATTTCTTTCTGATCCGAACACATTGTTCTCTCATTTCCAGATTCTTTCGATATTATTGATAAGAATCGGATTGTTGTGTTCGATTTATGTTCGAACAACATGCTAACTTTTGATGTTGGTATATCTTTATTGTAATGGTCTTCAAGTAAATGTTCAGAAGCGATTTTCTGTTTTTTTTTTGTATTTACATCGAATAGATGGGTTGTGGGACATTACTATCGTGAACGAACCACATCCTTTAGTGTGACAGAGTTGTAGGCCGGCTGATGGGTTGATAATCAATTGTTACTACTTTACAATGCTCGTGATTCAGGTAATTACTATGTATACGTCAACAATAGGAGCGAATAGCTTGGGAAATGCTAGAATCACTGATTAACCCGGGAAGAAGTAAACGCTGTGAGCAGTAAATTTGAGATATCGATGGCAGTTGTCCCAGATGAAGGTGGGAAGAAGTCAACAAAGGAGATTGCATTGTTTCCTTTTGGTCCCTTGGGATGATAAGAAGGAGATCCAAAACAGCCAGTTGTTTGCCGACGCTATAAATAAGTATCCAGTAAAAACTTTTAGTCACGACATGAACTTTTACCCATTGTACTTACAAAACCGACAATTGAGCCACTAATTGAGCTATTTTATTGCGTTGTTTGTTTTTCTTCGAATGTATTCCGGTCAAAGCACTGAAAATACTCTCAAAACGACTTCACTAATCACATTTAGTTGTTCATTTGTATCGCATTTGTTTTCCAAAGCTTTTTTGCAGGGATCCAAAAAANCTCTTCAAAGATCAATTTCGTGCACCCTACCCGCTCGAAGAACAATTTCTGAGGCTTTAACGGTGTCGACTGAATTCTTCGGAATCTCTACGTTTTCACCATCTAATTGGGTGGCAAAATTCAGTATCTTTCAACCATTAGGGGCAAGGACTACATGTGGTTTGGCCTACACCATAAGGAGTTCCTCGGGGTCAAACAGTTCAGCTTTTTATGGCCATACTCCATTATTAATAGTTGCAAGCAACGAAAATGTAATGATACGACGTAGAATTCGTTAATATGTCCCTTTTTACTGGTTGTTTACTTCACCAACTTGCCAACAACACCCTTCTGCCGTCAATTTTTGACGAGATGAGGCGCGCTTTCATCGTCATTAGGATATCCGTTTTGGGTTTTACTGCCTTCATTCCCTTTGTTTAGAGTTTTCTCTTATTTTTAGCAGTCGCGTTTCATTATTTCAACTCAGTCAATAGGTAAGATAAACATTTGTTTGGTGATTCTATCGACTTGGCAGCTTAGGAGCCGGATATTCGAGCACTTCTCCGGAGATACTCTTAAAATCTGTAGACAGAGATGGTTCCCCTGAAATGCCATAGAAGAAGCTATTTAACGTCATCATCGTTTATACCCGTAT